AAATAGGTAAAAGATAGAGAAAAAATATATTTTTAAGTTTAAATCATTTGGTTGTGAGTGAAAGTGTGTACGGCTGTCGACGGTTTGTCTCTGTGATGGACTTGCGACCTGTCCAGGATGTCCCCGCCCGTCGCGCAGTGACGGCTGCAGATGGGCACCAGCTCCACCGAGACCCGGGAAGGAAAAGCGAGTAAAGAAACTGGATGGATGTCTCTTTTCTGTCCTGAAGCAGGAGTGCTGTGCTGCACATTCCATTTATAATGCATTGTCCCTCGCTGGTGGCAAAGACAACTCCAGCCTATAGGCCGGATAGAAGAATGCAACCATTGCTGTTATTCTGCAGCCAGCTGAGCTCTTTGCAGTCTTTCTTTTTTTTCTATAGAAACATTCCTCATGGTTTTATCACAAGCTCCGTGTGTGTCAGCTGTTCAATCGAGTGCTTTGCCCTTTTAGATAATGTTTGAATGCAAACAGTCTAAACTGATCTAGCACTTTGCAAGTGTTTAACACTTTAAACATCTTGTTTAATGTTTAATTCATGTGAATAAGATTTTTTGCATGCAATAGTTTCAACATGCTGAATAGAATAAACAGATGTGTCCAATTTTCAGCTAAAAGATCTGGATTGTTGACATTTCTTYCATTTAAAATAAAATAAACTTGAGTAAGCAGCCTTTCTGAAATCATTTTGCTCTGACATTCTAAATGAAACATGCATAATTATTTTCATCATTATGAAATAACTATATTCTTCATGCCAAAYGGATGACTTTTTTTTCCTTTAGTCTTTTTTTCTTGATTGGTGGAATGTTCTGGATTTAATAAATACTCTCTACCCTTGAAAGCCTAGAGATCGTGATCATCTTGTTCACRTCTTTTTCAACATTTTGTACCAAAACATAGCCTCTGCAAACTGCAGAGCAATTCTAAGCCTGTCCTTCAAAATATGTGCCATTATYTAACGTGTCTCTTCCTTGCATGGATGACGGATTTAAAAGACAGTTTTGTAAGGACGTCCTCCAGCCTTTGCTGGATGCCACCTGTACAAACAGAACATCAGTGACTCAGCTTTTAGAGAAATAATTTCATTTAAAATTTTACCTTTTTTAATATTATAGGATTTTTTTAACACAAAATGAGACTGGTCTCACAAGCAAAGCCAAGCGAAGGTTTTGGAAACTTCAAATAATAACTAGAAGCACTCGGAGAGTGCAAACCACCGCCAAGACCAACTTCCCCCATCCTATAAGAGTTAATGCGCAAAAGCAGAGATGGAAACACATTTGCTGAATATGTTCTGACCTAGTGAACATTTAAGCAGGCAGTGTGCACGGGATTTCTTCCCGGTGGAGTCCAATGTGTAAAAACCCCCAAAAAAGTCAGACTCGTCACCCGACGTTATTCATGGTCAAACTGGTGTGGGATTAAGCTCCTAAGTTTTCATC